AATGAGAGTGCAATAATGGGTGAAACAAATAATGAGGAGCTATATTAAATCATCACCCAGTCCCTTCATGTTGATGTTACAATAATATTAAACATTCTAACCAATTATAAGCGAGGTTGACATTTACCATGTCGGCATTAATTTTATCAGGTGAAGGGAACAGGGGAGTACTTGTCTCTTTTTTGACTTTAAGAACTTCTCTCCTGATTTCAGTTCCAGAAAATGTAGCTTCAATATTCTTACAATTACTTGATTGAGAAACATAACGTTGAACTGCCCTCTCCTGTACCCAACATGAATAATTATCAAGACCATTGAAACGATGAATATCTTCTTTGAGATGAAGAAGGTTATGAAGGCAAACGTGACAGCTTGTTGGACCATACTTTTCTTCAACAAGGACTGAATATCGGAGAGCCATATTGTGAAATGTAATTACATCTTCCTCTAGCCATCCATTACGAGCATGATTGTGAAGAAACTCAGCCATACGAGTCAAGCATAACCAAATTTCCTTTTGCACATCTGACAAGAGACCATGGAAAACAAGTTCTGATGCAGGAAATACAAACTTGTAGTACTCTTCAGCTGAAACAAATTTTACAATTTAATAATATTATTGATATAGCAACACAAATTTATCTCCGGGTTCTGAAATGCGACAAGAGACCATGGAAAACAAGTTCTGATGCAGGAAATACAAACTTGTAGTACTCTTCAGCTGAAACAAATTTTACAATTTAATAATATTATTGATATAGCAACACAAATTTATCTCCGGGTTCTGAAATGCGACCCCACGCAACTTTTAGGGTCTCCAACGAATCACACACCTTTTAGGGTCAATTTACGGCATATTACCGAAATAAAATGTTTTTTATTGCGACAGGGAAGATTATATTCTCAATCTTAACAAATCTAAGAATGTTGGAACTTTTAGGGTCTGAAATGGAGTATCAATGGCACCTGAAATAAAATAAATATTTGATTTAGCTTGTGTAACATTTCATTGTTCAGTACATTTGTTAGTTGTGTTAAAGTAGTAATTGATTTTTGCAAAATCTGAACTAAAAGCTATAATGAAGAATTATATTTAATTTTCAGGAAAGCATTACCGCACAAAAACAATTTACTATTGATTAAGTTATAAATGTATAACAATACAAACCACAGCCTCTAGCTGTAGATGAAAAGGGTTGCCATACATACCAATGTGCTGAAATATGCAAACAATAACAGTTTTCCAATTAGAATTCGATCAAATAGAATTTCATAAATCCCATTTGTGAATTTGTGAATTGAAAAAATTATAATACTATAGCAAAGTACATTTCAAATTTTTTATCACAAAAGAAATCCAAACAAAGGAATATACATCCTCCTTTGACACAATCCTCAATAGAAAGAAAAAAGAAAGGTGGGATTATTATTTTGAGATAAATCTAATTTTAAATACCTATGTAAGCTATATTCCAAAGCCATCATCAGAGTATATACATAATATATATAAATATATATATTATGTATGTAAGCTATGTTCCTTGGATCTCCAGTTGTTGTCTTTATCTCTGTTTCGAACTGATTGAAACAACTAGGGCAAGTGACACTCTGCTTTCCAAATGCAGTTGGAGAGTTAATGACCTCGGTTGCAGATATCACAGTGTTACAGTCAGAATTTGGGCAATATACAGGAAGCACCCATTCATCATCAGGGTTCCAAAAGTAAGCTAGCTCTGCAAACCTTTTTCCATCCCAGATTTCTTTTTTTTGGATCAATCCCCAATCCGTGCTGGAGGTATTTTCATTGGCAAACCAATGATCTTTTTCCTGCCAATGAGCAGTCATTTTTTGCACATAGATGGTGATCTACACCACCGTTTAACCTTATCTATAACACTTAGATAGTAAAATGGTATACTAGGTTGTTTTCCACAGTACTTGCAAATGTCACTTTTGGAGTTAGCCAAAGAATAGTTATATTTATGTGATGGGTCCAGGCAAATCCAATAACATTTTGCTTCTTTATAACCAAGTTGTTGAAGGAGTCTTGTTACATGTTCCCATTTTGTTGGCCAAAGATTATCCATCATTTCATTTAGTCCCTTACCCAAATTAAGGAGTTTTTGAAATGCTTTAATGGAAAAACCATTTTAACCCGGCACATACGGGCATTCCACAACGCATCAAGAAGTTTCCTGCACGTGGGTGACTTACGTCTCAAACGCACCTCCGTTTACTTACTTTTTTGTGCTGTTAAAAGATGGATAGCGATAAATCTCTTCAAGGTTTGTATTTCCCTATGTCTGTGTTACTTTTTCTTGTGCTTTTTGGAGTTAAACGTCAGTAGAAAGTGGAGAATTTTGAACACGCCTTAGCAAAGCTGTCAAAGCTGCCAAGTTTGTGACCGAAGGAACTATGTAGGGGCCGTTAGATACGATAAAGAAAGTGTTGTTTAATTTTACGGGAATTTTAGGGCTTGAATTTTGGTTATAGACAATTAAGTAAAATAATTCCAAAAGAAAAGCCTTTTTATTTGATTGATTTGGAGACTTACACGAACAATTTTGGCGCGAAAAATCGTAAACGCTAAAAACTTAAACCGGCTTTCTTCGATGAAAAAATATTAAAATATGGATATTTATTTGCGTTTTGCTATATTATATCTACAAAAAAGTGAAAAAAAACAACGATTTGATTGGCTTTAGTCAGACTACTTTCCTGCAAGCGACAGATGTTGGCGTCAAAAATAAGGTCAACGACTGCTCGTTAGGTGTTGCTACGCTTTTTTCAAATGAAATTTGAATAGTTAGTTTTTTATCTCGATATTTGCCTTGAAGTGTTTTTAAAATTGTCTCTTTCATTTTCTGATTAATCAGTAGAACGCATGAAAGTGTCAAATACAGTCTATAAAAGGTATTTGTATTTTTTAGACTGGAATGTACAAGATGTGAAAGATTTTTTTATTAGTAGCAATATGGAGACAGAAGCTGGACTGTTTGAAGGTAAAGAAGGTGAAAACTTCCAGGTTAATGTCATTGGACATATCATATGTAGGGACTGGTCAATATTTTTTGAGATGGTGGGAAAATGAAATGCATCACATTTTCATTCCATTTTCAGTTCTCTCTCGTGCAATTGATAAATATTGAACATTATTATGTATCAATTGTCAAAGAAGTTATTTTAGTGTCTCATTGACTGCATCAAGTGAAAACAAATCAGTTAAGTAGTTGTAAATGTAATTGTTGAAATAATCTCAGCATCCAAAATAAGTGGAAGAGCACTAAAGACCTTGATGCAGCAAAGCTTGCAAGCAGCAAGAGACACATTAAAAGAAATGGGAATCACTGTATTGGGAACCCAGCTAGCAATTCTTGATGTATTGAAGGATATTGAAGGATCTCCAGGTTCAGGTAATAGGAGATTTGCATTCTAAGGCAATCCAGTTTATTTACATTTATAGCTCTATCCTTAGGTACATTTGGTTAGTACATGCACAAATCGGTTAACAATACTTAGTTTGTACAAGTGTCTCTGATTAACCTTAGTACCTTTAGAAAATTTTTATTATAATTTTAGATTCTACAGCCAAGTCAAAGTGGAAAAAAAATATTGAAAAAACAGACAAAGGTAGCTGGACACCAACACAGAGAACAGATTATAATACTAAGTAAGTATTCTACACCAAAAATATACCTCTCACTAATAACTCTTGACATTTTTAGTGTAAAATTGGTCTTTTAAGTGCCACATTTACAAAATGTACATTTGTAGGTTTTATATTTGTGGTTGAAATCTGGATTAAATTTTCTACAAAATATATCAATGTAAGGTTTGATTGCCGGAACACATCGTAGGAAGTATCCTTAAACACTCCTCATTTTTTATAGAACTTCAGCCATCGTCAAGGCCTGCAAAAAAACTTGGCCTGGCAATGTTAAAGACGTCTTCAAAGGCAATGAAAAAAATTCTTTACAATTGGAAGAGTTGTCGGAACAACTGCTACCGACTTGTGGTATTGAAGCAATAGGGTTTGGCAGCGGTAAGTAATTCTGCAATTTCTCATTAGAGTACTAATTTTATGATAACAGGGATATTTACCTTTCTTTTTGTCTTGGTAATATTTTCAGAACATTTCAAGAACATCCATTATTATTTTTTTCTATTTATAATAATAATAATAATAATGGACTCCGTCGATTTCGACGTATGAGGGTTCCACGAAGTGGAACATCCTGGTTACTGAAATTATAGTGAAGGCAGCTGACCAGACTACAATCACTCGTACCCTTCACGCAACCACAACGCTGATATCAGCGTGACACAGTGTGACAAGGCTGCAACATTGCAGATGCAGGTACAGTCCATCTGAGGACATAGTTTCCTCTACCAAATTTCCCTCACATGGCTTTGGTCAACCCGGGCTAGGTTTACAGACACATTGCCAAATGTGCCACGAGCCGGGATTGAACCAGCGCCGTCTGGCTTACAGCTTACGCAATTAACCATTCGGCCACCCGCCCCGTAGTTTTTTCTATTTAGAGGCAATAAGACAGCACATAATACAGTGGGGCCAAGAAAAGAATCGAAGATTATCCAATGGATATGATTTTGAAGTAAGATTCTTATGATTTCGTGCTTGGTATAAAATTTATTTTAAATTCATAAAATATAGGAATATAAATGACTACAAACTTATATTTTCTGAGAGCTGGTATATAATGCCTCGTCATTTAATGTATGTTGTAAAGTTAGTCAGACCCAATCAAAGATAAGACAGAAATGTTCAATAATTTTTGTACAACACAAAAACGAATATGCCTGTCTTTGACAGTACAAGGGTTAATAAAATCAATTGTTATTTGTTTTTGAGCAAAATTGTCTCATGAATTTGACGAATAATAGCGATATCTTTGAGTTTCTAGATCGCATTGAACCACGCTTCTGATATTGCAGATTGAATTTGTTTATATTAATCATTTTTTCTGTTTTTTTTTCAAGAAAGAACATAAAAGAGCCAAAAGGGCAAGGTGCAGCACCCCTTACAGTACAGCTAGCACTAGTGCAGGTAAAATGAACTTAAAATCTAAATGACAAATTGTGCCCCTAAATCCATTTGCTTTGCCTGTACATGGTGGGTAAATTTAAAAATAAAAGACCATCTTCCATCTTTGATAAAGTGATCAAAACAAGTAGATGTCTAAACAAACGATTACAGCTCCTTATATTAAACTTACAGAGTGACCAAGACACAAATCTTGGTCTTGCACCTGATGATGAACGTCCAGTATCCGAAAATTTAAAGGACATTACGCTCTATGGCAGTAAACCTAGCTGTTTTAGTTGCCTTTGATGCCTCGTCACTTAGTGATATTAGTTTGAAGACTCATCTTATACCATTGGCCAAGGAGCTTAAAGTAAAACACTGTTCCATGAGCAAGTATGAGATTGTTCTTCCCTTGGCCAAGGCTCTGTTTGAGCAGAAGTATCTCGTTGGAAACAATAGACAGTGTAACTATCTACATCTCACCCGGAACAGCATTAAAGTACTAAAGAAACCCAATTGTTGTAATATGCCATCAGCCAAGCAAAACAACATGCGTGCTGACGTTCCAGAAAAAGCGTCTGTTGATGGTAATGCTAGCTCATGCACTAGTAGTGATGAGGAAGAAAATCCTTTTGAACTATAATTGTTTTATAGGATTGTTGTTTTATATATATCAAATAGCATACTAAGTGTATGCACCATGCAAGGTGCATTATGTTTGTGTTCTGATTAAAAGTAATTTGGTGTTAGAAAGTTGTGTGTATTTATTGAGAAAGTCAGGAATCTATTTGCCATTAATTTACCAATATGAAACTCAATTTTTCAGTTGTCCAATATTGGTAAAATAACTGAATTACCAAGATTGTTTTAATTTGTCCAATGTTGGTAACTTACCAAAATTACCAAATGTTTGCCGATATGAATTTTACCTTTCCAATGTTGGTAATATAACTAAATTACCAATAATTTTCCGATATGAGTTTTACCTTTCCAATGTTGGTAATATAAATAAATTACCAATATTTTTCCGATATGAGTTCTACCTTTCCAATGTTGGTAATATAACTAAATTACCAATAATTTTCCGATATGAATTTTACCTTTCCAATGTTGGTAATATAACTAAATTACCAATAATTTTCCGATATGAATTTTACCTTTCCAACGTTGGTAATACAACTAAATTACCAATAATTTTCCGATATGAGTTCTACCTTTCCAATGTTGGTAATATAACTAAATTACCAATAATTTTCCAATATGAATTTTACCTTTTCAATGTTGGTAATGTAACTAAATTACCAATAATTTTCCGATATGAGCTCTACATTTCCAATGTTGGTAATAAAACTAAATTACCAATAGTTTTCCAATAAAGTTCCAAATTTTCTTACATTGGTAAAATACCAAAACTACCAAGATTGGAAATGTTTTCATTTTACCAATATTGGTAATTTGGTGTAATTTACCAATGTTTGTCGAATGAATTTCCAGTAATGGACAAAGATTGGTATGTTATTTTTTTCCCTGTGAATACCAAAGGTCTTTAAGTTAACTTCTCTTCTGATGGGAACTCTCCAAGCCCTTTCTTTAATGAATTCGTAACGTAAGTGCGCTAACTACGGCTGTCCAAAAGCACGTGAACAGGTATAGAAATGGAAGCATTCCCGCCATTGGCGTATGTAATAGAGCATTCTTAAGGGATGTAGTAAGTGTGCGGAAAACTGAAAGCAATGTTGAATATGAAATCATTGATCCTTTGAAGGTTTCTGAATCAAGTAGTTTGTCATTGAATCAATCAAGTGACCAGATTTTTGAACCCAAAACTAATCAGAAAGCACGCAAGCTAAGATCAGACCAAATTGATGACCTTTTAGCCATCAGTCTTGCTAATGATTTATCCAATGTTAGTAAAACTGGTAGTTGTGAGACAAACAATCAACAAGATGAGGATACACTATTTTGCGTAAGCTTAGTGTCTAGTTTCAAAGGGATGAAGGGAAAAACTAAACAAATGGCTAAGATAAAGGTGCTACAAGTTCTATTTGAGTTTGAAGAAGATGAATGAAATTCATTAGCATCACTGACAAATGTATTACAGATAATTCAATTTGCTTTTTAGTTTAAAGTTTGTTGTAACAAGTTATTTTAAGTTTTTGTTTCTGTCTTGTAATGTATTGATTTGTTTGAACATGTTTAATAATAAGTCTACCTTATTAGTTATTTTTGTCAAAACAATTTTCAGTAGCATGAACAGATTCCCACTGCCAAATAACTTGCCCCTCGTTTGACATAAAATACTTTTTGAAAGCTTCTTTAAATTTTTTTTCATTACGAGAGTAGTTGTTTGATCCATCTCTATAGATTGATTGCAAGCCTTTCTCGCCTTGCATTATTTCTCTCCATCGCCCTGGTCGTGTGGCATTTTTTTATTTTTGTCAATTAGTTCCATGCGAAAATAACTCTCTCCATGAGAGCATGCACCTTCCCTCATGAGATAATTATGAAGGACCACTGCAGCTTGGGTTATCCTGACAACCATTTCAACTCTAGCATGTATTGGACGTCGAAAACCCTGAAGCGTGCAGCTAGGATCCCAAAGGTATGTTCTGTTGTCCGCCTTGCTTGTGACAACCTGTAGTTGAACACTCTTTCTGCAATACCTAGAACTTCTCTTGGGTAGGGTTTCATTATGTGATGTTGCAGTTGAAAAGCCTCATCTGCTACCATAACATAAGGGTATTCTTCCTGGAAGCCAGGCAATGATTTTTCACATGGAAAATTCAAACTGTTGTTTTTCACAGCTTCTCCAATTTTGCTGTAAGAAAATATACCACCATCGCTATTTCTTCCAGCGTCACCTATGTCGACCAGAGTGAATTCGTAGTTGGCGTTGCAAATGGCCATCAACACAATTGAATGATTTTTTTTGTAGTTAAAAAACATTGACAGTCGTTTGACAGTCTCCGGTTGCTCAATATCTCATCGTCACGCAGAGCATCTCAGTTAGTCCAATGCAATCTCTAGTCATGCGGTTTTTTTTTATTTTGGGGGCGACCATAAGTAGTAATTCCTCAAATTTGGAAGCGTTCATTCGAAAATACCTGAAAAATAATTCATCATCGAACAAACGTAAATCCTGCACCAAAAGATAAAATTCTCCTTTAGTTTTTTTTTCTTGATAAAGCTTTCGAATCCAAAATGATTTTTTATATTTATCTTTCTTCATTCATCTACTTAAAAGTAAAAGCAAGCGAGTTTTTTTGCTGAGAGTACCCATAACAGAAATATTTGTATTGTTTTGAACTTTGGCGGGAAAATAGTATTACGCGTTGTGTCGAATAATGGAACACGTTCAACGTATCTGTACTTGCAACGATACGTTACGTTTTGCTACGATACGTGGATAGTGGAAAACAGGCTTTACTTTATCGTATACATATCTTACTTGGCTGGTTCAACCGTTGGCACAAGCTTGAATTAAAATTTCATCCATGTTAGCTGCTATGGTTTGCTGGGTTTCCCGAAGCGATCGTTCAAGATTTTTTACAGCAGAGTCATAATGAAGTATTTGCCAGTTGCCAGTCTCCGTTAAATTTGCGCGGTTTTTGTAATGCATTCTGGGATCGCCAGGGGGCAAACATTGTGTATCTTTATAAAGATATCTTTTCGTAAAAAGTTTATATTCAAATTATAATGGGAATAGGGATCACAGTGCTGTTTATGGCTGTGATAACGATAGGAGATATCCTAAAAAATCTATCGTTTCCGATCACGTTGGTATTCTTCGCTTTTTTCTCCGAAAAACGAAAGACAAGAGTGCTTGGCAAAAGCGGATCAACAGGAAAAACTTCAAAGTCACTACAAATACGATGGTTTGTTCTAATTATTTTCTTGCTGGTTATCGATCCGAAGGCTTTCCCAATCCAACTTTGTATCTGAAAGGATACCAATCAAAAGAAACCAGTAAACGATTACCGCCGAAAGATAGAAGCAAATCAAATATTCCGAAAATAAAGAGACGAAAAATTCTCTGTGAAGGCAGTACTGAAAAACGCTTTGAGCATGAGGATAAGGCATTTTTTGCTGCTGAAATCACTGCTCCTGAGCAGTGTACTGAGCCACAGTCTGTGCACCAAGACAGTCCACTAATAAATAGTACAACAGACTTGGATGTTACATTTTTGATTCTGATGATAGCTACAGCTTTGAAAGTGATAAACATGACCTCATTGACTGTTATTGCCAGGGCGATGTTAAAACATTGAAAAGAAACTTATTTATTGAATAGCTTTTTGCCAGACACCTAAGATACCTGGTAGCCTGAAAATATCATGGAGCAGCTATAAGTCACCAACTCTGGTCTCATAAACTTGCTAGAAAAAGGTGATGGTGTCATGGCTGATAAAGGATTCCTTGTTAGAGATCTACTTGTGGTGAAGAAAGTTCACTTTATTTCTCCTGCCTATTGTTTTGGAACAACTCATACTCGGCGTGTTGCCTCATTAAGATCTCATGTCGAAAGGAATATAATGAAACTAAAGCAATTTCAGATTTTATCAGGAGTTATTCCATTGACATTAAAACCAGTTTTGGACAACATTTTGTTTCTGTGTACATATGTAATTTAGGAAAGTGTGGTATAAAGTAATCCTCACACAATCTAAAATAAATTATACTTAATATTTTTATTTTGAAAAGCTATTGTTTGTAAATATAAAATTTTATCATTGCACATATTTCAATAAAAGACTACTAATCATATAATTCTTGTAGAAAAGAAACACAGTTTTAAATACATCACTCCAGAAGTCAGCATCAAATGGTAATTGTACTATATCACTTCCTTTTTCTGTAAATACAATAAAATCACATTTGTCGATTTGGCTTATAGCCATACACATTTGGCCTTTAAAGTAAAATAAATGGTTCCTGTTCAACACTTTCTTTCCACTATCATTAGTTTTCCCACAAATAGCTGTTGAGAAAAATGCAGATTTGGGATGCATATTCTTGGATGTTAGAGGGCACTTAATTTCAAGTGTCCTTGAACCACAGCATTCACATTGGTATATTCATACAAACTCACTCTCACAAACACAATACTTCATTGGCATTAGTTAATGTTAGACCTTTAATGGCCCTCGCTGCATTTCCCTCAAGAAGCGATTTCAGATTTCAGTTGAATTTGTTTACCTTCGAAATGTTTGGATTACTGTGAATCGCAGAATCATACAGATCCCAAAACGAACTCCACTCCGTAACCTTGCCACCATATTTCGGACACTCCAGCGTAGGAAGCTTTTGCATATTTGACTTAAAATGAACTGTCGTCGTACTGTTGTCACTCGTTACATTTCCTTCGTTTACAATTTCGATCGTCGTTTAATTACTTTAACCTTCGATTAAACCAGATTAAACCATAATTTTCAGTCGCATTTGCCACATTTTCGTTAGAATTCTCGATACTTTCGTGTTGGCCAGGGTTTGACATGTTCGTCAAATTTGAGTTCGGTATGGTATCGTTGACATTCGTGTCAACCAGACTGTCATTCTTAGCGCATTTAATATACCTTTCGATTTTTCGTTTTATACTCATAACTCTATCAGAAATTTCGGCCGAGTCCTCGATTTCACCTGGTATTTCATTAACATCACACGCATTCAGTATTTCTTCATCGAGTATTTCTTCACTTAATATTTTTAGTTTCCCTTCGAGTTGTTGTGCAATGATTTCGCTACGTTCTACAAGATCATCATGTGGTGGCTGTGATGACAATTCAAATGACACCTTGAGTTTTGTACATACTCCGCGATGTCCTCTTTTTCTAGCACGAAGCCTTTCCACTTTTTCCTTCTCTTCAGTCGACATTTTCGTAAGAAACGAAATATGGGTGACTTTAGTTCGTTAAAGTCGCCCTACGTTGGGCGCCAAGTCATGCACGTTGCACAATATATTCATAAGTTTTATTTTCAAATCAAATGTTAATAACAGCCTCACCCCTTTGTAACAATCCCAAAAGTATCAATCACGTGAAATGCACGCGATCCACAACAACAAAACAAAAAAGAACAAAACAAATGTTCATCACAGTTGATGAACGGCGTCATTTTTTTCTGTCTGAGATTTGTGATTCATGGAGGTGTTGATGGCTTCTAAAGAACAATAAAAGCAGTACTGTTTTTGAATTGTTTTTGCAAAGTATTTAAATGTATAAGTGCCCTCTTAGAGTACAATGTGATCATGGCACAGAAAATAATGGTGTTGCTCCTTGGATTTTTCATCATTTTGGAATTGATGCCAACCCATATATAACAGGGATGTATGTGCACAATCAAAGAATTAAAAGATTGTGGAAAGATGTTAACTCATACGTCAACAATTATTTTAGTAATCTGTTCCATTATCTTGAGTCAGTTGACCTGCTTGATCCATTGAATGAATTGCATCTATTTGCACTTCACTATGTGTTCAAACCAAAAATTAATCAAGCTCTAGTTTTTTTTGTTACCCAATGGAACAATCACCCATTATCCAATGGAAACAATATAACTCCATATCAGCTGTGGGTTGAAGGTTTTCACAAGTATGCCAATGCAAATTACGAAACAATATGTGAAGTTGTTGATCCAATTACATTGTGCATTGATACTTATGGAATAGATGATGATGGCACATTGCCACAAGTACAAACTGTTAATCATGTTAAAATTCCTGAATCAAGTCTTGTATTATCAGATGACCAAGTCACTTTTATATTCACATCTGCAAATCCTTTGGAAGAGGACATTGAGCATGGAATACAAGTAGTTATGCTGCACGTATGGTCCCGGAAGTAAACGGAGCTCTTACCCATGTCAATTAGTTTGCAGTCCTAGGAAGTAAACAGGGTGCGCGCGTGTAAACCGTAAACGACATAAAATGATCGAAGGTTGCTACTGGATGACATGATTAATTGAAACACGATAAAACTCAATTAAAATTGTCAATTGTTCTTATATTCTTAAAGCAATATTAGATCCGTTTTCTTGTTTCCTTTGCAAATATAAAAAAAGAGAACATGTTACAATTTTATCGAGTTAAAGTTATTTGGTAATTTTTGTCTAACTAAAACAAACATGGCTTTAAAAGTAGACATTGAGCAAGAAAAGAAAGTGAAGGAATCGTCCTTCGAATTTGAAGATGAGAGCAATGTTTTATATGAACGGCAAAGCAATATACAAAATATATTGTTAAAGTGCTATGCTACTGAAATTGATTTTAAAATATATAAACTTGCGGCAAATGACTTTGACGGTTGTCATGTTGATTATCCATCTCAAAGGAAACACAAATGTTTGATGATGTCGAATGATGAAAGGGTATCAATATACTTTGATGATGCCGTATCAGAAATTGATGACGAAGAAGTCATGAAATCTTTCTTTGATAGTCCACAAGACATGACTCCGATAGTAAATGGGCTAGAACTTATCAAGTACACTTGCAATGATTGGAGAAAAATATTTTTAACAGAAAAAAAGAACAAATTAGAACATGAGATGCTGATATTCTTAAATACATTTTATTGATCTATAATATTTTTAATTTAAAAAACTAGCAACGACCACTCTGAAATAAAAAGAAATCAATCTTACTGACTGTTCTCTGCATCAATGTTCAAAAGATAAAGAATTATAAAAATACATGCTGAAAAAAATCTTCTAAGAAGCGATCAACTTCTTCGTCAAAACATCTAGAGTATAAAGCAATGGACATTACATAAAAATAACGACTGCAACATTTAGCAAGCATATAAATTATTTGACTTACAAGCAAATAGGACATTTGAATGGCAAGCATTCAGTATGTCTTTCCTCCACCTCAGAGAGGTGGACTTTATGCCCACAGCTTGGTGGGCATATGA